CAAGTGCATCTGGGACTCCCTCAGGGGCAAGCAGCATGGCAGCGAGATGGGGTGAGGCAGCCGCAATGTACTCCAGCTCGAATTGACTGTCCTCAAGGACGTCACAGCCAAGGGCAAGCTCACGCCCGATGGACGTAGGATAGGCAGGGTCAGAAACCAGACTCGCAAGGTAGTCAAGGTGGCAAGTAGCAGCAAAGTCAGCGAGCTCAGCGACTAAGGGAGAAGCAGCAGTAGTAAAAAAAGTAGGGTCAATCACAAGCGTGGTAGGAAAACGAGTGACAGCCGGGCTAGCAGCACGAGCAAGGTCAGACACAGGGTCAAGAACGTCAAGAAGAGAAGACGGGGGAGGTAACGGCAGGACAACAGGCTGCGAAACAGAGGAAGGACGAAGTGCCATCATGTGCGTACTGGGAACAGGAGGAGGGTGAACATGGCGAGCATGACAAACACGAGCAACTGGGGAGGTAGCACGAGACGTAGGCTCCTGACACTTGGTTGGGGAGACAGACAACGGGGAGAAACGAACAGGAGCAGACAAAGGGGAAGGCGGCAACAGTGCCTGAGACAGGTCAGGCGGTGGAAACAACAGAGGGGGAGTAGTACCAGCAACCATCGGCTCAGTAAAGCCAGGTGGGAGACTGAGCAGGTCATGAAGTGCCGACCCAGGTAGCGGTAGCGACGACGGCTGCTGCTCTCAGAAAAGCGGCCGCTTTGGCAGTGGCTGCAACGCAACCCCAGACCCAGCTCCTCCACCACCAACACCAGGACCGTCGGTCCCACAAACACCTCCAGCGCCAGTATGACCAACACCCTTAGGGCCAGCACCTCCGACTCCAGCTCTAGCACCGGCAGCTCGAGCACCTCTACCGCCAGCACACCTAGCGGCAGGGCCTTCGGAGACAACACCTACAGCTCCAGTACCTCTAGCTCCAACACATCCAGCTCCAGAACCATTACTGCCAGTACCCCCAGCGGTAGGACCTCCAAAGACAGCACCCCCAAAACCTCCAGCAGCAGCACCAGGAAGTGGCATCGATGACAGGTGCTGCTCCCAGAACAACGGCCGCGCTGCGGCAGTGACTGCAACGCACCCCCAGACCCTCTAGCAATGGCACCCTCGACCCCGCCAACAAGAAGACCCCCAGCACCCCCAGAGTCAGCACCCTCAGAACCAAGACCCCCAGTGTCACCACCCCCAACAGCACCAGGGCCCTCGGGGTCCACAGCAATAGGCTGCAGAGGGGGCAAAGACGTCCGAGGCGGAAAACCCGGAGGTGTCTCCAAGCGCGGCGAGCGGCGAGAGGCCGTGGTTTTGTCAGCAGCAGGGTCGCCCCCAACTGGGCCAGAGGAGTCTGAGGAGAGCTCCAAAGGCACAACCGATAGGAGTGGGGTGACGTGGAACACACCTGAGGGAGCAGGACGGGGGGGAAGAGGGTCTACATGGGGAGGACTGGGTACCAGGAAGACAGGCGAGGGGGGCATGGGGCAACTGCGGTAGGGGTAGAGACGGTAGTAGCCGACCGACTCGTCAAAAGTGACGTCTCGGGAGGACAGGACGCAGCGCGTGGCTGTGTTGTAAAACTGCCATTCAATGGCGTCGGTGGGAAAGTCAAGGAAGACGCAGCGAACAGTGCGGAGAGAGAGAGAGAGAGCTTTTCGGCGGTGGGATCGCGGACAAGGGCAAGCGAGCCCCTGACCCGAAACAGTGACGCAACGCCCACCTCCCCCGTCCAAAGGAGGGTAGGAGAGACCTCTGGCTGTGAAACATGCGGCCAAAGGTTGAGCTGATACGCGGCGTATCGGACCACAAACGGCCACAGGAAATGGGGAGCAACTGCATATATCATGGAGGTGCGAGCAACCTCCATGAATAGGCCAATGTGGCACTCAGCAATCCCATTCTGCTGTGTAGATGCCGGAAGCGTTAACGACTGGCTGATGCCTTCCTCACAACAAAAATCGTCAAAGAGACCGGAGGAAAACTCACCTCCACGGTCAGAGTTCAGGCGAAGCACCGGGAGGTCGTGCTGAAAACAAGATCTCTGTTGGAGACGAACAGCGCGGATCCAAGGGATCAAAACACCACAGACATCGCCCTTCTGCTGCAAAGGAAACACCGTGGTGTAGCGCGTGAAGTCGTCGATAACCAGTCAATGCCTCCGCATGAACTGCACCTGTGCTAGCAGTCTCACAAGCACCTACACTAGCATCCTCTACACAGGTTGACCTAGGCACACAGGAATAATAGTCAACCTCATAACTAGCACCAGCAGCATAGATGGCATACATGCCTACATAGATATTGTCCCAATCAAGCGAAAATATATCAACGCCCTTCTTGAGCAATCCTAACCAGTCAGGGACTTGGGCAAGCTTACCGAACTCGCCACGGAAAGCGTCCTCGAGGCGGCAGAATCAGCGAGCCTCACCGTGCCCCACCTTGCCGCAGGGATCGCCAGCCCTAGGGCCAGTGCGATGCACGTACGGGCAAGGACCAGTAACAGAGCAACCACCGCCGGTGCAGCCCCGCTGAGCAACCCACTCACGAAGCTGCTGCGGCGAGAGAGTCTCATGTCAACGTACCGGTGCCACCACTCCTACCAGCTCCACCACGACCACCACCCCCACGTTCCTCCGCCACTCACGCCAACCCCACTACCTCCACCACCCCCGCCTCCCCCACCGCTTCCGCCACCTCCACCACCCCCACCACACCCACCCTTCTTGCGCGCTCCCTTGTTGCACCTCCCGCCAGGAGGGGACGCTGCTCCGACCTCCTCAGCACCGAGGACGTCAACAGCAACAGCAGAGGCAACAGAGGATGCTAGAAGGGAGGGAGTGCACCCCTATAAAAAGGAGGTGCTGGGGGTGCCACGGGAGGCAGCTACAGCGCGGGCAGTAGTCTCGGCCTCGAGGAGACGAGTCTCAAACGATTCAAGGGTGAGACTAGAGGGGTCTAGGGAGAGGAAGTGGTCTCCAACAGCACGAAGGGTGTCAGGGAGGCGAGTCACTAGGAAGTACAGAGTGAGGTACATGGGGGGTTGGTTCGTAGCCAGAAACTCTGGCAGGAGAGCAACACGGTATTGAGTGTCAAGGGAGCGCAGGTGGGTCACTAGGTCAGCTACATTGGTGAAGTCTGACAGCTCAAGGAAGAGAAACGGCAGGGCAAGACGCCCTAGGGTGGTAGAAGAGGGGGAGGAGTAGCGCTTAACTACAATGGCATAGAAGGCTTGGGCCGACTTCACCTGGCGAAAGTGAGCCCTCTGGTCAGGCGAGAGGTGAGCGCGGACTGCAAGCGTAGCAGTGGTGTCGCATGCCGCCCACTGCGTACAGGCAAGGCGGTCAGCGCGGTACTTCTTCTGCACATCCTCTGCAGTGGTGGTGGCCGGCCCTACGTGGAGGCTTGGGGGCCTTGAGGGACCCCGACATGTGCTCAAACAGTGAGGCATCATCCTTGGTAACGCTCTGCAGGTACATGTGCAGGTCCTCTAGCCAGGACTCGAACTCTATAGGGCGCCCCCCTCTATGTCAAACATAAGGACATTGACGATCGCCATGGTAGAAACTAGGTCAGACAGCAGCAGTAGGATCTAGTCGCGGATCTGGGCACGAAGAGCAGCTCGGGTAAAGCACGGCAATAGGTGAGTGGCTCGGCAGCAGGCAGAGCGGCAGCATGGCGCGGCAGTAGGCAGGGCGGCGCAGCTCGGCGCGGCGCGGCTCGGCAGGGCGGAGCGGCGCGGCGCGGCTCGGCAGGGTGGCGCGGTGCGGCAGGAGGCATGGCGGCGCGGCGGCGGGCAGCGAGGCAGTGGGCGGCCAGCGGGCTGCAGTGGGCCGGCAGCGGGTGGTAGTGTGGGGTGGCGCACAGGCAGCAGTGGGCCAGCAGCGGGCAGCTGGCGGCAGCTGGCTGTGTGTGGGCTGCAGCGCAGGCGGCAGCGTGGTGGGCCAGCGCGTGCAGCGGCGCGGGCGACAGCGCGGCAGCTGTCGGGCAGCGCGTGCGGGGCTGTGCGGGGCAGTTGGTCAGCGCGGGGCAGGGCAGGGCAGGGCGGCGCAGCGCGACAGCGCGGGGCAGGGCAGGGCAGGGCGCGGCCTGCTAAGGGGCGGGGCAAGGCCTGCTTAGGCTGGGCGAAGCTAGCATCGAGATTCTACTCATGATACCATCTTAGAAGTAGAACACAACAGAATGATTGACTAGCAAGGGAGATGGGTACAAATACAAACCCTAACGTGGTATTCTCCCTACTGCGTGCCTCACTATAGCCTAGCATACAAGTATATGATTTGACAGCAAGAACTTCCGCTGACAGCTTCTTGGTTAACACCTCCTTCCACCTCGCCGGCGTCTTTTCCAGGGCTTTCCAAGCCCACCGAGCCGGTGTGTTGCCCCCAAGCTCTCTGCATACGGTAGCTGCTGAAAACTCTTCTCATCACAGCTACCGGCTGCATTTTTGTTGTACAGGCCACCCAACCTCAGATCCTTCAAGCGGTCCGAGCCCCGCTGCCCCCCAAAGGAGCTTTCCCCCGGAAGAGGATGAATCTGTTACAAAGCACAGGCGCTCTTGCTCTGCTTCCCACCTGTTTGACGGCTCTCCCAGCAAGAAATTGCTGTTCCAGAAGGTTCGGAGGATGGCCTTCCATCTTTCACTGCCCTTGAGTTGCATATCATGCTTGGTTGCTTTTATTGACGGATCTTGTGACCTTGTGCCTCTGTTGCTTACTTGATGCCTCTCACCTAGCCTACGGGGGTGTGTCAAATTATAGGTATTTATGAGATTGTTAGGTTTATTAGGCTACAGTGAGGTATGGTAAATTGTATACTATATAACCTTTTTTAGGGTTTCCTACGGTTTTTGTACCCATCTCCTACTAGTGAACATTCCACTTGCCAAGTTCTGACATGTGACTCCATAAAAAAGAGGTGCCTCAAGTTGCTGATGCTTTGGAGGCTGAGCGTAAGAGCCTTCAACATGGGAGGAGAGGTAGTGGCGTGGGCAGAAAGAGGGTCAGAGCCAGGGGAAGGGAATGAGTTTGGCGATGGTGGAGAAGGGGGCGAGGAAGCTGTTGGGGTAGTACATGGCGACCTGCGCAGGGTCACTCACAATGCCCGGCAGTGCCCACGCTATGCGCGGCCCCACAGACCCCGGCCCACTGTTGCCTCGCTCGATGAATGTGGAAGTGTTGTACACTGTACCCGCCCAGTCCAGCCAGCCAGTTGTATTCAGCTGAGGGAAGGGCACGCAAAAGGCAAGTGCAGTGTGGGGATGAGGGTGGGTGAGGCCATGCAAAGACATCAACATTGCTGAAAATGAAGAAAATGACAGGAGAGAAGGACTTACCACATTACTGATTTTTGTGTTGATGACAGCCACTCTCGCGTAGGGCTTCCAGGGACGTCCGAGGTATGCTCTGTTGACAAGGTTGCCCTGGATTTCGGAGTTGAGGATGACGATGCCCGTGTTCTCCGTGTAGTTGGTTCGCCCCGATGCTGTGAGCGCCACACCCGCGTATGGGAGGATGTGGAACGTGCAGTTGTCCAAGACGGCCGCACCGTTGCCAAAGACAAAATCCACCGACCCTTTCACGTAGCAGTTGCGGTAGTACTGGCGCCCAACGTGCGCATACAGGGTGTCCTGCGACCCGAAGAACTCGCACTCGTAAAAGGCCGCATTGTCGCCTGACTGCCTGAACGCCACCGCTTGGTTCCCAGCCCTCCCTGCCGTGTTCTCAAAGCGAATGCCGATGGCTACAAATCCAGTCCCGGCCACAGCTGAGGGGTTAGAGAGGAGGGAGAGAGGGAGAGAGAAAGATCTAAGTATTTATCTTAGAGGTAAGTGACATTTCCCTCAGACATTTCCCTCAGACACTTCCCTCCCAGCCTCTTCCCTCCCAGCCCTAAAACCCTGGGAGGGAAGAGGTTTGGAGGGAAATGTCTAAGTGCCTATCTCTCTCTCGCTCTCTCAGTCGCCGGAGATTTGTCACCCACGCGAAAGTAGGGCGAAGAGAGCACAGCAGCGGGAAGCACCTTAGAAGATGGAAATAGAGGTAGAAGAAGTGCAAACAGAAACGCACAGACCAGCTGGCGGCGGCAGGGAGGAGAGGAGCGAGGGAGCATGGGTGGTTGCTTACCAACAGTGGCGGACTGGAAGGTGCCGGTGCCGGCAGTTCCGTTGTCGTTCCAGGAGATGACGGTGGATGCGGCAGCCAGCCCCAGCAGCGTGACGTTCTTGCAGGTGGAGTTGATGGCCACCTTCTCGCGGTACACGCCCGGCCGGATGAACACCACAAAGCGCCCGCTGAACCCCACCGGGTATGCCCTGATCGCTTCCTGCTCGCCCCCGGGGAGGGCACACAAGGCGCACACAGAACTGTGAGGGCGAGGCCAGCACACAAGTGATGTGAGGGCGAATTTCCCTCTCCTGTAAGCATGTGCACGCACTCGCACTTTCTCTCTCACACGCACCTGCACGGTGAGGAAGTTCCCAGAACCATCCTGTGCCACGGTGACCGTGGGGGTGATGCGCGGAGCGGGTCGTGGGGAAGGGGGCGGAGATGGGGGCGGAGATCGGGGCGGAGATGGGGGCGGGGAAGGGGGAGGGGAGGGAGGTGGAGGAGGAGGGGAGGGAGGAGGAGAAGGAGGGGAGGGAGGTGGAGGAGGAGGGGAGGGAGGTGGAGGAGGGGAGGGAGGTGGAGGAGGGGGGGCGGGAGGTGGAGGAGGGGAGGGAGGAGGGGGGGAAGGTGGAGGGGGAGATGGAGGAGGTGAGGGAGGGGGAGGAGAAGAGGGAGGAGGGGAAGGAGGGGGGGGCGAAGGTGGAGGGGGATCAGGTGGAGGGGAAGAAGGAGGGGAAGGATCCGGCAGTAGCAGGCAAGGCGGTTCAGTGGCGGTGGCCATGCCGGTGCCAGGAGTGGTGTCGGGGATGGAGTTGTGGGGGTTGGTCCCCGTGACGGCAGTGGTTGTGCCTGCACCGGTGGCGGTGGGGCCTGCATGAGGAGCCCTGCCCGCAGTGACGGCTTGCCGCAGGCGGCGGTGCCGGTGCCGGGAATGACGCCAGAATTGCCAGAAGGGCTGGTTTCGGGGATGGGGTTGTCGGAGTTGGCCACCCTGATAACATTGCCCGTACCTGCCCGCACTGACAGCTTGTTGCAGGCGGCGGCGAGTGGGCTCAGTGGAGTGTGTGTGGGCGGCGCCTTTGCCAGTGCCGGGAGTGCCGGTGTTGGGGATGGGGTTGTGGGGGTGGGCCACCGTGATGGCAGTGGCCGTGCCTGCGCCCGTAAAGGTGGGGTCAGCACCACCGCTGGTGGCGCCAGCGGCTTGCAGCAGGCGGCGGCGAGTGGGCGAGGGCAAAGGCACGGCGGCGGCAGCAGCAGAGTCGTCACCTGCTGCTGCTGCGATCATGGCCGCCATGTCTTCTGCTCGCCCCAGCGCCTCCATCGCCAGCGCCCGCGCGTCCATCGCTGCTTTCTGCACGCACCAAACACACATGTCGCCGCCCAAGCCGCGTGCAACACCATGAGCACCCCATGAACGCTGCAGAAGGCACGTCCCTCAATGGGAATACTTTCCAAAGCGCGGCAATGTGCGCAACGAATGGTGGCGAGAAGCGAGCAGGGAGCGCGAGATCAGCGCCATGCCATGGCTGCTTCACGCCACGGCAGTAATGCCGTGCGCACCGAGCAGCAGCAGGGACCCGGGGCGAGGAGGCACGCACCTGCAGGGCCTTGACGCGAGGGTCGCGGGAGCTGCCCGGCGCGAAGCGGTCGAATCCCTCGGCGCAGTCGAGCGCGAGTGTGACGGCGGTGGACAGGTGGATGCGCGGCAGATTCACGTCCTCGCCGCCGCTCGCCATCATCCCCGCTGCCTCCTCCACGCTCTCCGACGCCAAAGCCATCTGCCGCATCACCGTGATGCCACACACGCGTCAGCTTATGCGTCACACAAGCGCGTGTGGCTTAGGGCCCACGGACCGCGTATTACGAGGGCATCAGCATGCCGGCACAATGCACTGCCATCAAGTGCAGGGAATGCTTGGCGTACGAGCAGAATCTGGAAGCATCAATTGAGCCCGACTGAAAGTGGTCGTCTCACCTGCTCCACGCAACTGCGCGCCAGGCCGGTCCAAGCCTTCGCGTTTGTCGCATCCTCCAGCGCCGAAGCGCGCGAATGCGCCACGGCAGCCGCGGCCTTGCCGGCCGCCATGTGCGCCCGGGCTTCTCGCGATTTCAGCTGGAACTTAGCGGTCCGCCAAACCACCAAGTCCCGCATGCGCACTCCCGACGTTGCCTTCGCGTGATGTCCGCCTTGATTCCGCGGAAGGGTGAGCCCGAGACTCTGAGTAAGGCGGCGGGAAGAGCGGATTATCACGGACGCGTCCGCATCCGCTGGCAGTGCTCCGGCAGGGAAAAGGAGAAGAACCGCCATGGCCGCTACAAGTAGCGCCGTCGCATGATGGGTGGTCATGGCATCCCAATTATCAGAACGTAGAAATCACTCCGAGGGATACCCCAGGTTACCAGGTACCCTAAACGGGAACCCTGGGGTATCCCTCCCTAGGGTATCCTTTTCGTGTCCTGTGGGTAGGGATTTCGCTCCGGGCGAACTTTTTTGGGATGGGCGGACACCGCAACACCACGCTGGGTCTTGCGGGCCAGGCCGCCGTGACGCCCTCGTGGCGACAACTGCTTGTGGATAGCGAAGATCGAAGGTTGTACGAGAGGTTGTAAGACAAGTCTATGGTCGCGGCAGCTTTGTACTCGGAGAGACTCTAATGCAGCCGCTGGTTCATAACTCTGATGGAATGCGGTGTTGTGGGTTGTTTGGTTGGGCCAGGCCACGAAGTGCCTATTGGGATGTCGGCTTATCAATGCACGCGTGGATCGCGGAAACGAGCTGGATTTTTTCCAAACAACAAAAAAAAGTGCTGATTGAAGTTTCTTTCGGGGCATTAATATGATCTGAAAGGTGAAAAGTGGTGGGAACGAGTCTATCCCTCATAATCGGTACTTCGGGTACCCTCGAAGACTTCCCCAGGGTATTTCCCCGATCCGCCGAGACCTCAGGCCATCTCGCATCCGAAATGTCACATTCTGTGGTCGAGGGAACCGTTTCTCTTGATTCCGAATAAAACAAACCCCAAATAGCATTCCACCTCCATGATAGTGTTTTTCCGACTTCGCTTGTTCTATGCCCCGGCATTACAGGGTGTCATAGTGTTTTGCTCGACCGCCATGCAAGCAACCCTGCGTTGCTTGTCAGGGGACGGGAAGGCTGTCAGGCAGTGCACTCTAGGTTGCAGGTGTTGGCGGCTGTCACAGGGTGTTCACCACCGCGACGCGATGTTCTGACTTCACTCACAGCAATTGCGGCGCCACGACTCAAATCAGTTAGGATAATACTGTTTTGAACACTCATGTTAATTATTTACATGAATTTACCTACACTTGATATTGCAATACACCCCGAAGGCACTGTTGACATTGTGCTGCAGCTGAACACCACCAGTGATTATCCCCTCGCCTGGGCGGCTAATCACGTCCTGCAAGGTCTGGAGGTGTTGCCGCTTGCAGAATTGGAAGCTTGGCTACCAAGCGATGCACTTATAGCGCTGGGTGACACATGACCCAGGCCTCCGGCCAGAGGCTCATGTAGCTGCTCCTCATGACACATCTATCAATCCAGAGATGCGGAACTCATATTCGACACTCCATTGAATCTACGCAGCCTTCAAGGCCGGGGAGCACGTGACTGGTGTTAGAATCCTAGGCAAAAGTGGTATTGAACGTCGAGAGTGTTTGTACAAAAGTGAAACCTAAGGGGTTGTACCCCACAGTGAGTACCCCACTAAAGCCTATCTAAACTACAACATACAAACATATGTTTGACACACCCCCATAGGAAAAGTGGGGGAGAACAGAGGGTCACAAGGCCAGGTAGGAAGTGCAAAGCAAGCTCAGGGTGGATCACAACGTCACCACGCAGTCTGAGCACAAGCAAAAGGCCACAAGGCCAGTTCACATGCAGAGATATATATGAAACAACAACAGCACAGTGATATCTACCTAAAAGAGCAAGCATGCAGGTATACATATATCTATCACAGTACAAACAAAGCCTACAGCAAGTGAGGAAGCGTAGGCACAAGGCCTAACAAAGTGCAGAAACGCTGATGATCACCAGGCGGAAGCGCCTTGGTGAATATATCAGCAGTGTTGGCCCGAGTGGCCACGTAAGTAAGACGAAGCTGGCCACGCTGTTGCAGCTCTCGAGCAAGGAAGTAACGGAGAGCGATGTGCTTTGTTCTGTGCTCCAGTCTGTGCTCCTGACACAAGGCAATGGCGGCCTTGTTATCGACGTACAGAACTGGAGGAGAACGAGGCCGCTCTCCCAAGTCGGTCAGCAGGTAGGTGAGCCAGCGTAGCTCCTGCGCAGCCATGGCTGTGGCGTAGATCTCGGCCTCACAGCTAGAGCCGAGAACTGAAGACGAACGTGTAGAACGCCAGGAAACTGAACCAGAACCAAGGCTGAAGGTGTAACCCTGTGACGACCGCTGCGTAGCCTGGTCGTCAACCCAAGAGGCGTCCGAGTGACCAGTGAGGACAACGTCACCCCGTCCTCCAAGCACGAGCCCCATGCCCGATGTACTGCACAAGTAGCGTAGTACCCTCTTAGCAGCATCCATGTGCACCTTTCGGTGCCGACCAGGAGCCACGTAGCGAGCCAGAAGGCCAAGAGGGTATGCAAGGTCAGGACGAGTGCAGGTCATCAGGTACATGAGGCAGCCCACTAGCTCTGGGTAAGGACCACTCGGCTCTACGGACTCGTCCGAAGGTGGAGCTGAGAGCGAGTGACCTGTATCCAGAGGAGTGGCCTGTGCTGAGGACCAGGTGAATCCGAAGCGCTAAAGGACCTGCTGCACCATGTGTGACTGAGTCAGTGTGATGGTGCGGCGTGCTCTGTCCCGGGTGATCTGCAAGCCAAGATAGCTGTGCAGTTCACCCAGGTCTGTGCACGTGTGTCTCTTCTGCAGCTCCGACTTCACCAGGGCGAGAGCCTCAGTGTCAGCAGTGGCAAAGACCAAGTCGTCGACGTACACGAGGATGTAGAACGGCGGCAGCAAAGTGTCGGTGCGCAGAAACAGTGACGGGTCAGGAGTCGACGGAGCAAACCCGAGCCGCAAGTGTCGTCCTCAGTGTGTCGTGCCACTCACGTGGCGCCTGGCGGAGACCGTAGACCGGCCGCCGGAGGCTCCACTGGGTACCAGGAGGGAACGACCCAGTGAAGCCAGGAGGGCGGCGCAGCCAGATCTCCTCGTGCAAGCTGCCCTGTAAGAAGGCTGTGCTGAAGTCAAGAGAGTGAAGCTCGTAGTCACGCTGAGTGGCAACATGCAGCAGCACCCGAAGAGTGGTCATCTTCGGGGTGGGGGAGAAGGTAAGGAAGAAGTCAACTCCCTCTCGCTGACTGAAGCCTCGAGCCACGTAACGAGCCTTGAAGACATGCGGAGAACCTGGCGGCCGCTTCACCCTGAAAATCCACATGCCACTGAAAATGTTCGCCCCAGGAGGAGGAACCTCGTCGACGTAGGTGCCTGTGGACTTCCAGGATGCCATCTCTGCGTCCATGGCTGTCTGCCACTGAGAGGAGTACTCACCCGCGATCGCCTCAGCGTAAGAGCGCGGGGTAGGGATGTCTGGTGCATCCGGGTCTCCCTCAGGGGCAAGCAGCATGGACACGAGATGAGGCGCAGCGGCTGCAAGACACTCAAGGTCCTCCTGCCTGTCCTCAAGGACGTCCGTGCCAAGAGCACACTCACCCCCGACGGACGGAGGACAGACAGACTCAGACTCAGCAACAAGACTGGCGGCGTAGTCTAGACGACAATGAGCACCAAAGTCAACAAGCTCAGCGACTAAGGCAGACGCAGCAGCAGACTCAAACGACGGGTCAGTGACAACAGTGGCAAGCAGACGCGTGACAGTAGAGTGCTCAGCACGAAACTGGTCAGACGCAGGGTCAGCAACGACAGGCAGAGAGGACGCAGGCGGAGACGGCAGAGGAATACGCGACGGAGCAGAGGAAGGATGACGAACAACAAGGGGAGGGCCGGAGACAGCCGGCTGGCTCGGACGAGGAACACGACGACCGGAACGGACAGGTGAGACAGGACGCGGCGCAGGCTCACGACGCTCTGCAAGGCCCCCAGTCTGCTCTGTGTACGGAGAAGGAGCAGGCAGCGGTGAGCCAAGCGGTAACGGAAGACCAGTAGACGAGGGAAGACCGAGAACCTGGCGAAGTGCAGAGTCAGGTGGTGGCTGAGACGACGGAGACGGCGGAGTGAAGAACAGACGCGGCTGAGCAGTGCCACCAGCACCAGCAGCTCCAGTACCTCCAGTAGCGCCAGCACCTCCAGCAGCAACAACACCTCCAGCAGCTCCAGTACCCTCAGCAGCACCAGCACCACCAGTAGCTCCAGCACCCTCAGCAGGTCCAGCACCGCCAGCAGCCCCAGTACCCGCAGCAGTGCCAGAACCTCCAGCACCTCCAGCAGCTCCAGTACCTCCAGCAGCAACACCGCCAGCCCCAGCAGCTCCAGAACCCCCAGTACGAGCACCTCCGGGACCAGCGACACCAGTAGAAGAACCCCCAGCAGTAGAGCCCTGAGGTGCAGAAGTGCGACGCTGACAGCGACCGTACCAGTCGTGCAGCTGCTGGGAGGTGAGGGGCACACGCGGACGAAGACGGCTACTCCAAGGAGACCGCATAACAGCAGTCTCAGAACCCTCAGGTGACTCACCCCCAGACTCATCACCTCCAGGCTCCGTACATGCAGGCTCAGCACCCCCAGACGCAGCACCTCCAAACGCAGCACCTCCAGACGCAGCACCCCCAGACGCAGCACCTCCAGGCTCCACACGCTCAGCGCCCCCAGACTCAGCACCCCAAAGCTTCGCACCCCCAGGGACAGCACCACTCCCAGCAAGACCAGAGTCACCAGTGACCTCGACAGGCGCAGGCGCGGGGGGGTCTACCTGAGAGACACCTGAAGGAGCAGGACCTGGCGCGGGGAGGGGGTCTACCTGGGGAGGACCTGGGGCGAGAAAGAGCGGCGGGGGGGGGCGAGGAGCAGTGCGGTAGGGGAAGAGGCGGTAAAAGGGGACCGACTCGTCAAAGGTGACGTCCTGAGACGCAAAGACACGGCGCGAGGCGGGGTCGTAAAACTGTCAGCCAGGCGCGTCAGGGACAAAGCCAAGGAAGACACAGGGAATGGC